TGGTAGGTGTGTGTGTGTGTGTGTGTGTGTGTGTGTGTGTGTGTGTGTGTGTGTGTGTGTGTGTGTGTGTGTGTGTGAGAGAGAGAGAGAGAGAGAGAGATGCCTGTACAGCATTAGTCTCTTGTGAAGATTTTTTCTGCCAGCCTGGTTCATCATTCCCACAACATGGGGACGTGAAAACTGCCCATAGTCACCCTTGAAGGGAAAAGCCCTGATTGTCTGTGAATATCCAGTAATGAACCCTTCGGCCCTTGGCACTGCCGTTCCCAATGCTTGCCTGCGAAGTGAATAGCTGGCAGAGAAACCTTGCTCAGTCCTATGATGCCCATGGATTAAAGTCAAAGCCAACTCCTCCAATATCTCCAGTATCCATATGGAGCTGTACAGCCGCCATGCTCACTGGAGGAGTGTGGTACGGCACATTGCAGAAAGAGGAGTATCTGCTTTGCATTAATTATGCTAATTAACTGCCTTCCCCAGGGAGTGCTTAGCTTCTGCTGAGTTGTTTGCGTACATGATTTATCCATATCCCACTCCTCTTGTCCTTTTGTTTTGCAGGGGCCTTTTGTGGCAGCTACTTAGTGATACAATTTTAATCCTGGCATGACTGATTTTGGCTTTTCTCCCCTCACCCCCACAGGAAAGTGGAGGACTTGCAGTTCCGAGTGGAGGAAGAATCCATTACCAAGGGAGATCTGGAGGTAATTTGCAGCACACTCACTGTAATGTATTGTCTGCAATTGCATTTGAAACTTTCCTTTAACAATTTCTGCTGCCTTTTGCCCAGCTCTGTGACCAGGGTGTGTTAGTAATTGCTGTGTAGGGCTGATTCATTACTTATTACAGCAAGGCATTGATAGTGAATTGTGAAAAATTTCCCACAAGGTGTTAGCTGGTCATGGTTATTCCTAGAGATCCACTTAGGATTAACCATGACCGGCTTGCATGGTTTTTAAACCTGACTTTGTCCTAAGTCATATTAAACGTCCAGGTTAATTAAATTGTGTGTGTTAATGCATTCTAACATACCTTTTCCCACTGCTCAACCACTGTCCCTGGCCTGTCTCTCATTACTAGCAGCTTCAGTAAGGTATATGATCCATATCCAGTGGGAGAGCAATTGTATCCCAGCTGTATCTGGGTACAACGCCACACATTCCAATCTAAGCCTTCATCCTCCAGGACTTTTCGGTGGAGTCCTCCTCTCACAAGCACAGGCAGTTGTGGTTTGATGTTGCAGTGCCCTTTTTTTGGAAGGCGTAGGGGTCTTTCTGCACAACGGCACTGCAGCCAGCTTTGTACAAAAGCGATCAGCATTGGGAGATGACCTTCTGTCTCAGGTTCCAGTTCAGGCAAGGTTTCCCTTGCAGGAGGAGTAAGGAAGAGTGATCTTTCAAGAAGGCAAGGTTCCTTTGCAGAAAGGCAAAGCAGTGTCCAAAATCTCCCCTTCCCCTTTCCCTGGGCTCTAGAATTAGGCTAGTTAAGTCAGCCAGGCCTGTCGAGGGAGCTGTTTCAGCAATCAGTAGTTCAGCAGTAAATCGATACGAGGCCAGAACCTGGCTGAGAAGGCAAATCCTTGAACGAGGCGGCTCTTGGGGTGCGGTGTGTTTTTCTGGACATTAGAGACACAGAATTGCTTTGACCACCCTTAAGAATAAATCTCTGCTTTTTATTGGGAGGAGATGGCAGAGCAGCAGAATGGGGGATTGGAAAGGTGCAGATCGATCCTGTGAGGAGAGCTTCGCTAAAGCTTTTCTAGCGCAGTGAGCCGTGCCTACAGAACCCCTCAGCTCTGGGTTTAAAACCAGCCAGGGGATAATTGCAATGGAACAGGGCTTTTGGAAGGGGTGTGTTTCGTTTTCACAGGATGACAGGCTGTCCAGGGCCAAGTGCCTCAGTGATATTCGGTTCCCGGACATTATTACATGATGTGCGGCTGGGTTATTCTGCAGATGAAGCAATTGCGAGTAAGAAAAATAAAACCGAGCTTGCTGATTGTACCGGATGTGGTTTTTATCTTTTACACACACATAGCCCTGTGTGGAGCTCCTTATCAGTGTCAAGCTTCTCCATCTGTGCCTGGTGGAAATCACCTCTCGGAGCAACAGGGTAATTCATTCGCTACGGTTTACTCAGTCTTTGGTCTCTCTCCTGAGAGTAACCCCTTGGGATGGGTCTTCACTGTGGAGTTAACTTGGGATCTTACTCAAGTGTTGCTCCTAACCCTCCACCCCATCATTTACACATCAGACCCTCTCACCCAAGTTTAGTGCTGTCAGTCCAGGCTACTTGGCCTAGCTGGGCGATAGGCTACAGTCCGAATGAGGTTTTCACTCTGGCTGGTAACCCACCCTCTTTGCAGTGAGGACGCAAACTAAACCACTCAAGTGCTATTCACCACTGCCTTCCCACAAGTCCCCTGTGTGCCCAGAAGGACAGATGGGTTCTCCCACAATTCACTGGGACAGAATCAGGGAGTGGCACAAAGAACTGTGGGATGTGCCCCTAGAAGTCCTAGCGACATGTGTGGTGTGCCATGCCAGTGAGGGCAAGCGCTTTGCAGTGGGTCTGCTTGCACCCGAACTGAGAGGTACTGATCGGCTGAGTTAAGAACTCTGCAGTGAAGACAGACCCTAAGGGATTGAATGTGATGGTGGTTGAGATTTTCAAAAGCACCTAAATGACTTAAACAAAAGCCCCATTGAAAGTCAAAAGGACTTGTGCTCCTTGATCAGTGTAGGGGCTTTTGAACATTCTAGCCAGAGGGCCTTTTTGTTCAGTGAACATGTGTTCCCAGGTGAAACCCACTAGCTCGTTTCATGTAAAGCCACCCTAGAGCCATCCAGTGGTTACTACTTTCAGTCACTACCATCTTTGTTCAGCTTTGAACTAGCCAACTGGGGTATCTGCGGGGCTCAGGCTCACCGGGCTGTTGAATTCCAATGTAAATGTTCAGGGTGGGGCTGCAGCCCAAGCTCTGGGATCCTCCCACCTTGCAGGGTCCTCGAGTCCGGGCTCCAGCCCCAGCCTGAATGTCTACACTGCAGTTAAACAGCTCCTTAGCTCTAGCCTGCCAGCCCAGGTCAGCTGGCATGGGCCAGCCTCGGGTTTTTAATGGCAGTGTAGACACAGCCCTAGAGGCAAAAAGCCCAGTAACCCATTGTCAGTTGCCCTACCCCAACCTTCCTACATCCTTTGCCCTGCTGACTGTCTTCGGGGAGCTGTGATTGCAACGTTTATCCTTCAGGATGTTCCAGCTTTCATTCTTCATTAAAAGGCCGTTTCCAGGTCCGACCACATTGTACAATCAAGCTACGGGAGACTCTAAGGTTGCAAAATGCCCTTACCTCATCTTAATGGTGTCTTGGTTCTCTGGGGTTGGGGAGGAAGTAACTTGAAATTACTCCTGAACTCCGAGTCTGTGCTGCCCAAGCAGGCTGAAGCACTAGACTCGGTGCCTATGGGGTGAACATAACAGCAGCGTTAGGTTTTTAAATAGGGCCCGACCCACCCCAAATGCTGAGACATTCAGTGATGTAGACGTCGCCAATGGCGTCTGCGTAGGTCATTTTATAAAACAGAGTGGTGTGCTCGCAGCCAGCCGCGTTCTACACAGAGGTGACCTTCCAGCACATCCCTTTGTGAGAGGATCGCTGCATCCACATACTGCAAACAAGCAAGCATGGCACTTTCCTGAGCATTCATTCAACTGGGCGATCCAGTGACTGGGCTTTTAGTCAAGGATGTGAGCAAGATCGGATGCTTTATGTGGGCAGGAGGGGCCTAGCACAACAAGTGCTTTATCAAGGAGGGTGACAAGACCAAGTGCAGCTCCGTGCAGGTTAGAGATGTTCTTTTGGCCACCTGTAGTCTGTGACTGCAATTTTAGCAGCTATAAACGCTGCAGGGCTGTCTAGCTAGATCTCATTTATACTGAGAGGACAGGGACCTCCACAACAATTTGATTGGATTTTCTCCATTTATATGCTTCTGTAGTGATCCTCGGGATGAGAAGGCTGATGTCGTCATAAGTAACCAACAATAGCAAGTACAGTGTGTGTCGAGTATAGGAATACTATCGATCAGATTGTCATACGGTGCATGCCAGTATCCCCACTGAAGAATCATAGAATTATAGGATTGGAAGCGACCTCGAGAGGTCATCTAGTCCAGTCTCCTGCCCTCATGGCAGGTCAAAGTGTTATCTAGACCATCCCTGACAGATGTTTGTCTAACCTGCTCTTAAAAATCTCCAATGATGGAGATTCCACAACCTCCCTGAGCAATTTATTCCAGTGCTTAACGACCCTGACACGTAGGAAGTTTTTCCTAATGTCCAACCTAAGCCACCCTTGCTGCAATTTAAGCCCATTGCCTCTTGTCCTATCCTCAGTGATTAAGGACCTCTTCCTTGTAACCCCCTTTTATGTACTTGAAAACTGTTATCATGCCCCTCTCAGTCTTCTTTTCTCCAGACTAAACAAACCCAATTTTTTCAATCTTCCCTCATAGGTCATGTTTTCTAGACTTTTAATCATTTTTGAAGAGAAGAAAGATGCTCTCAGTTGATCATCTTCCCATTTTGTTCCTCCAGAACTCTTAACCCAGTGTATTTCAGTGGAGTCTAGAGGTCTCTGCCCAAATATTAGTAGGCCTAAAGACAGGAGCGAGCCACAAAGCTCATGTTCAGATTTGGAATTCTCTAAAATTTGGAGATATTTAGATCTGTGATTTGAGTTCCCTGATGGATGTAGGGAGGAGCTGTGACGTTTGGCTCAAAACATCTCACAGAACGCAGTGTGACCTAGCTCCAGGCCCATCTCTAGGCAGCATGATGTTGCTTTAGCCTTTAGCAAATGGGAGGCAAACGCAAGAAAGAGCTAAAGCCTATTTATAATGGATGATCTTGTAATAGGAAACCTTAAAATCCTTAGGAGACACTGTTGCGATCATCTGCTGGAATTCATGAGATACCTCATGCATTTTAGTGAGAAATTAGCTATTTGTATAGCTCATAATGTGTGGGTAGTAATTAGGGTTAAAATTGGACCTGAGCCATAAAGTTTGGATCTGAATTCCCTCAAATTTTGGGGCTGAGTGGATCTCAGAATTTGGTCTGGTCTAATTAGGGCTGGATGAAAGGGTTTGTATAAAGTAAAAGATGATATGTGAGTTCATCTTAATGTTGAAAAAAAAACATATTTGAGGTCTGGAAACATTCATTTAACTTCTCCTCTGTTTTTCATTTCCGTATGCCTCTGGTCTTCCAAGGTTTACTGGAATACTAAGGGAAGCTGCTCTGTGGCATTTCCAGTTGAACCAGAAACAGAAGTATCAGTGTCAGGTATCTTGCGAGATTCCTGGATTAGTTTTGAAATGGATCAATAAAAGATCCCGCCTTTGGAGCGCTTATACCTGACCCCTTGGAGAACAAAAGTGGGTGGGAAATTACTACCATTAAAAAGATTCTGAACTGCTCGTTGAGATAATTTTGTGAGTCCACATAGCTGAAGGTTCAGTCAGACTAGCTGTTATTGTTGTAAATGCATACTAAAGCCATTGAAGTTAATGGAATAATTCAGGATTAACGGCACTGTAAGTGAAATCAGAACCTGGTCCAGCTCGTAGGAAGAGCATCTTTGAGCTATGTGGAGATTTGGGGGAAAAGCCAGTCAAAGTTTCTCCCTTTTCCTTTACAAATATCCAGCTCATGTCTGTGCTTCAACTAAGGTTCTTTGGCAAGCCTGACAATGCTTGGAGACCTCTTTTAAGAGACGTTGTTTGTCTTCTCCACCTGGGGTCAAATAGGATTGATAAAACTTGAAGTGTCCTGAATATACCCCCCACAGCACACCTTTCATGATCGATTGGTCCTACACATGCCTATTACAACCTGTGGGAAACCTCATCCAGTGCATTGAATGCCCCAGTAAACTAGACAATTACTAGTCTCGAATGAACTCACACAGAAAAGTAATAAGACAAAAACACCCTATCACCTGGGGGTGAACAGTCACTCCATAGCTGACCTCTCAGGCCTCATCCTTAAGAGAAACCTGCACAACACCTTCAAAAGATGAGCCTACGAGCTTAAATTCATAACTCTGCTAGACACCAAAAATCATGGACTGAACAGAGACACTGGTTTTATGTCTCATTACAACAATCTGTAACCCACTTGCTCTCATTTGTCCTATGACTGCAGAGGTTCTAATTGCCTGCTTCATTTTGAACGGTTTCTTGCAACGTGTTAACTCCTTATACTTAATAATTGGTTCCACCTTGTATTTAGCTGTGACACTCGGATTACCTTTCCCAGACCTGAAGAAGCGGTCTGTGGAGCTGGAAAGCTTGTCTCTTTCACCAGCAGAAGTTGGTCCAAATAAAGATATTGCCTCACCCACCTTTATCTTTCTCATATCCTGGGGCCAACATGGCTATGATAATATTGCATGTACCTGGCAGTCTTGATTTTCATCATATTTGATCTGATGTTTAATAATATTTTCCGAACTTTAAAAGAAAATACAGATTGGTGCAAACTTAAACTTTCTCCATTCACAGAAAAGGAGCCAAAGTTCATTCATTCTTTTCCATCTCAGATCAGGTTGTAAAGAAAAAAAAATGCGAATGAATTCAGGCTTGGGAATGGGGGGGAAAAATAATGAAGTGGCAAGTGAAGGACAGAAAATTGCCTAGAACAACTTAAGTAACCTTATAGTCCTTGTCACGCTGTGGTCTTGGTGGATCAACTTTGTATTCAGTAGAAAATCGTTTTGAAAGTTAAAAATGTGAAAGCTAAAGTTTGCATGTTGATTTCCCCCCCCCCCCTCTTTCTTCACAGGGAATTTACATGATATCGGTGGCCAACACTGATGTGCTTAAATAATAATTTTGCTACCGATAGAGGAGTGTTATCTAGTTATTAGGGCAAGAGACATTGAGTCAAGACTTCTGGGTTCTAATCCTGACTCACCCACTGAACTTGGGCAAATAACTTAACCGCTCTGTGCCTCAGTTTACCCAAGTAAACTGAGACACGGGGGAGGGGAGGGGTTGTGAGACTCAAAATTTGAAAATCACTTTGAAATCCTTAGCTATAGATGCTGTACAAATGCAAAGCACTCAGTTATACAATTGTTTTCTACTTAAATTTCCTCCATTGCTTTACATGAGGTATATTTTCTGATATTGTCACTACACCGTGTACAGCTTTCGTCAACTACGTCATAATTCAAACTCTCTCTTTCTTGCAAAAGGCGAATGAGAGTCCCGGTAATTTTCAGTGCACTACAGTGAGCAACTCTGCCAGTAGACAGCCTCCAACTGCCCATATTGCTAAGAGTGAGCACAAGGCCTAGGGTGAATGATCTTGAATTGGTGCATAGACCTTGTACTGACGCGCACTGCGCTGGGGTGGATTTCTTCTGTTCCGAAGTATTCTCACTATGGCCCCCATTCAGGAAAGCACATAAGCACCTGCTTAAGTCTCATCCCCTTTAGTGGGACTTAAGCCCCCTTCGTGAATAGGGAGGCTTTGCTAAAATGGGCCCTATAAGAGGAGTCCACTGTGTCTTAAATAGCCACCCTGAGGACCATGTAAAATCCCTTAGTAACCTATTTCTGTTTGGATGAATTTTCCTGCCTGTTCAGATGTTTATTCTCCTCCCGTTGTGAACTGCCTTTCCTTGTGTTGTACATGGAACATGATGTTGCAGCCTTTTCTCTCTGTTTTCTGCTCTCTCCCCTGTTGTCGTTGTTGTTTTTTCTTCCCTATGTGTGACCAGACTCAGACGCAGTTGGAGCATGCCCGAATACGGGAGCTCGAGCAGAGCCTGCTGTTTGAGAAGGCACAGGCTGAAAAACTCCTCAGAGAATTAGAGGACACCAGGGTAATCCCAACCCCACTTGCCCTGCCTGCAAACCAGTGTGCTTGTCAGCTGCATTGATGCCAACAATGCCTTGTTTTGGATTTTGTTGTTTGGTTTGAGTTTGGGCTTCCATGGTTTTTGTTTTGTTGTTTACTTTATTTGCACTCCCTTTCTGGAAGTGGTAGCACCATATGATTTTTGCCTTTGCTTCTTGTGTGGTGACTCATTTCTCTGACTTGAGTTTGCTTCTCAACCCCATGACGCCATTTGACATGAGCTCTTCACAACTCACCATTCGATTAACACCGCCAAATAAATAACAACAATTAAACCTTGCACGGTTCATTTTGCTTCCGGAGGTCCTTTTGAGCTACAGTAGGAAATAACAGTGTGACAATCAATGTTGCAAACATCCTTCCTCCTATTGTGGGTGCTGGAATTTGAGATCGAAGATAAGGGTGGAGAGTCTGAATGGAACTGCTCCAAAGTCATAGACTACAGGGTTAGTTAGACTGTTGCAGTGAATGCAAGAAAGGCTGTCAAGAGGAGCAATACATCAGGGCTTTAAGGAGCCTTGTTCGGGGCGGGTGAGGAGAAGGTTTTTCATGAAGGTGTGACGTGGTGGGGAGAGCAGTTGATTTAAAAAAGACAAGCAGACTGTCAGGACTGTGATGTGGTCAGAGCAGGGCTAGTCAGGCCTAGTGGTCAGAGCCCGAGTCCAAGCCAGGGGTCAGAGCTGGGATCAGGAACCAACCCAGAGGTCAGAGGAGGAATCAGAAACTGGGGATCAAGCACAAGTCCGATCCAGTGCAGCTACCAATCAGGAGATCTCCCAGTTACTCAAACAACTTCCCTGTGCCGCCTTCTGGCTAAAATATTATGGTTGGGCCAATCGGTGGGGCCAATCATCGTCTCCAGTCATGATCCTCGTGGGTGGGGCCTCCGGGAGAGGTCAGAGTTCTCCTAGCCCCTCACATCCAGGAGTTTTGGGGGGGGCTGCCTAGTAGCGGCCAGGGTGTGAGGGCTGCGTGAGAGCCTGAGGGCCCTTACATTAACTTGTCTGTTGTGAATCTGTAGAGATCACCCAAAAGGCCAGGCTGGAGTCTTCCAAACTGGTGAAAGAGATTTGAGCACCCAATTTCCATTAAAAATGAGTGGGAGTCAGGCATCCAGATCCCTTAGGCAGCTTTGAAAAATGTCAGCCTAAACAAATAAATAGAATGGATCAGTTCTGTTTCAGTGCTAAAGGAGTAAATGTTGTAGATTTGCTTGTTTGTTTGTTTTTACATTTCCTCTTATCAGGTCTGTTGTTCTGTACTCAAAGGTGCCCACGCAACCCAAGACCTCCACCGTGATCAGCAGTCAACTCAGGCCAGAAAGATTAAACTCAGAAAGCTAAGAAGCTACTCAAAAACCTGTCATGCAGTGTAACCCATGGCCAGCAGTTTATTATCTTACATCTTCTAGCATTCAACCTTATTTTTACTTTGCTAATAAATTCTAACCAGACTCCATGTGTAAAATTCCTTTTCCTTTTACACCAGGGTAAACCATAAAGTTGTGAAGGTGCCAGAGGCTCTGAAGAGCTGAGCAATAAAAGGAAATGTTCATGACGTGTACAATCCTGATTTTAATATCTACCGTATTCCTGAGTGTACAGTAGCATTTTCTATGCATCACCTGGCAAGCAGCCCAGTTCAGAAATATGATGAGATTTCAGGACATTATTTTGAATAAACCCCTGTAACCTTTTAGTAGCTAATATTACAGCAGTTGTTTCAAAGAGACAATGTTGTTTCTGAAGCAGACCAACGGTTCAAATTGAAAGCACGCATTAAAAATCAGCAAGAAAGTATTGTTAATTACCCTGGTGCAAAAACTGTAATTGGATTGAGGATGATGTTTTTCTTTTTAAACTTTGGCTAATGTGCTTGGGATTTGAGAGTCCCTGGAACACGTCTACTAAAGAGAAGCAGACAGCAAGGAAAGGTGAGAACTTACTTTGTCTTTTTTTTTTATTATTGTTTCAGTTAACTACGGTAGCAGAGAAGTCTAGAATCCTTCAGCTGGAGGAAGAGTTGAGTATCAGGCGCGGTGAGGTGGAGGAGCTGAGACAATGCCTAAGGAACTCTCACCAGGCAGAGACCCCTGAGCACAATCTTGGTCTGCAGTCAGAGGCGCTTCGCCTGCGAGACCAGCTGCTGTCTGCCAGCAAGGAGCACCAAAAAGAGAGCAGCCAGCTAAAGGAGAAGCACGAAAAGACCCTGAAGAAGCACCAGCAGGAGATAGAGAAGCTGAAAGCCGTCAATGAAAAATATTCCCAGGAAATCGTTGACCTGAAACACAAAGTTCAACAAGCCACCAATGAGAACATGGGGCTGATGGACAATTGGAAGTCCAAGCTGGACACCTTGGCATCTGACCATCAGAAATCTCTGGAAGACCTCAAAGCCACCCTGAACACAGGCCCTGACACCCAACACAAGGAGATAGTAGAACTGAAGGCCGTGGTAGAGAGCATAAAGATGGAGCACCAACTTGAATTGGAGAACCTTAAAGCTAAACACGATATCGAGACTGCGGTTCACATAAAGGAGAAAGAAAGTCTGAAGCTGAAGCTGCAGGAGGCCAGCGACGAAGTGGAAGAAAGCAACAACAACTGGAAAATGCAACTGGAAACCAAAACAAACCAGCACCTTCTAGAACTTCAGGACATGAAGGAGAAGTGCCGAGATGCCGAACTGAGAGTGCACGAACTGGAGAAGCTACACAGTGAATATAAAGATCAGGCTCAAGCAATAGCTTTCTTGAAAGAGCAGATTTCTCTGGCTGAGAAGAAGATGTTGGACTATGAGACACTACAGAAAACAGAAGCCCAGAGTAAACAGGAGATCCAAAGATTGCAGGAAAAAGTGCTTGTCTTAGAGAACAAACTGCAGTCCATGGAGGCTCTGCATCCTTCTCAGCATGCCAATGTATGGGTTTGGGCTATTCTGTTTATGTTGTTTTGTCCCTATTATTCCTCTTAGGGCTAACCTGAATTTTGTCCTGTAGTATAATTTGCTTGGGCTTCTTGGCTTTAAAGCCATCTGATTATTTTTTTTTATCTTTTATCTATATCTTTCATTGTTTTTCTGAGCAATCCTATCACATTACTGGGTGGGCCCATGATGGGGGAGGAGGATTAGGCATTGCCTGCTCTGGGTAAAGGAGCTCATGGAAGTGAGGGCACTTGTAAGGAGACCATTCTGCGTGGGGAGTTGGACTAGAAGGTGTGTGCTGGCAGCCAGGAGTAGCTAATGCGGAGGCGGTTCATGTGCTTCGCACAGGTGTCGCCGTTACAGAAGGGCTGAACAGTCAGGGTAGAGAGGTAAAGACAGAACCGGTATGAGATTAGGATATAGCCTGACCTAGGACTTCACCTGAGGTCATCCTTCATTCAGTGGAAGTCAATGGGAGCCATAAGGGAGGAAGGCTGCTGTGTGGTTAAGCCAGGAGACTAGTAGTTGGGACATGATGGGTCTATACTGGCTCTGCCACTGACCTGCTATATGAAGTTGGGAAAGAGCACTTGATTTCTGTCTTTCAATTTCCTCATCACTGACGGGGGCATTGATAAGTCCCTGTCTGGCAGGGTGTTTATAAGAGAAGGTTATAATGGAACAGCTGATGGGGATGGTCTCACAATGGGGGGTGGAGGGGAGAAGGGAAGTCAGCCAATCAAGGCATTAGACACACATAATGAAATGCCTGATTCAAGGTGATTCATCCACATCTTAGTGCTGATTGGAGGACAGGCAGTAACTATCATAACCATGGAGGGATCTGTTTCTTCTGAGCTTATTATATGTTTCTCTAGCCCACCAGCCTTGTTGTTCTGATGCCCTGCCGTCTGTTACATGGTAGGTACCCTTCCATCTTTATGAGATGACATAAGGACAAAGGGTGGGTCTGTGACTTATTCACACCACTTGTGCTAGGTGATAGGAAAATCACTGCACAGCCTCTGCGTGTTTGGATCCTCTGCCCATACTTACACTTTGCGCCAGAAGCTAGATAAAAAGAATATTCAAAGCAAGAGAGAGTTCCTGTCCTAGTGGGATACAGACAACCAAACGCAAGTCTTGGAATATACATTGTTTGCTTGAGAATAGGCATTTGGAAGGGACCCCACTGCTCCAAATTAAGGCCCCAATCCTGCAAACATTTACTATGTGCTTAATATTACTGCCCTGAGTAGTCCCATCAGTTGCATGGTAGTAAAGTTCAGCAGCTGCATGTGTGTTTGTTAGGTTGAAACTTAATGCTAGTAAAATAGCATGTGTATTGGGTGTGAAAGGAGGGAAAGAAACAGAGAGAAGGAAGAAACTTAAGCATCAATAATGGTATTTGAAGGGTTCTCCGACGTGCATCCTCTCTCCTAGCTAGGCATGGATTCTAAATACAAAGGAGGCAATTCCAAAAGGCATGGCATGGAAAGCTACAGAGCTAAGGCCCCACCATTGCTGCACTCAGGGAAAATATACAGGGAGTTCTTTAGTAGAAAACCCCAGTGTCCTAGAAAAGAGTTTCGGTCTACGTCCAGTCCTAAGAAGAGTAAATAAAAAGAAAGAACCGAAGGTCCAATCCAGAACCCATTAAAGTCAATGGAAAGACACCCATTGACTTTATTAGGCATTCGACTGGGCCTAACGTGTCTTGAAAGAACTAACCGTCCGAGAGAAAGCAATCATATTGACACTCTGATGCAAATTAAGGCCAAGAAAATGCAGCTTGCTGCTGGACTGAAGGCATGGACAAAAGCAAGAGACTGTCACTGACAGAGGGTAAATTCTGTTTTTTTAAAAATATCTTGGCTAATTTAACAGAACATGAATTATTCAAATATTTAAAATAAACAAATGTATCTTGTGACTATACAGACTCCTGCTTTCCCGTGCATTCAAACAGGTGCTTCGTGGGTTTTGGTAAGTTGCAGTGAGATGGCTTTTGTCACTGAGAGTCACACCAGAGGCAAGTCTTGCATCCTCAGAACCTGCTCCTACTTCTGTGAAGTCAGTGACCACAATCCACTCACTGTGCGAAGCCAATGGAACTTAAAAGTGCTTAAAGTTAAGCAGTGCTCAGATGCATTGCTGTATGGAGACCGTGGCTATAACTAATCAGTGCAATTGTCCCTTAAGGCCAGGAGTCTAGTGATGGTAGTTAAGTAGTAAGAGGACAATAGCGTGCATACACTAAAATGGCCCCTAGACAGGTAGAATGTGGCATCCCCTGAGGAAAGAGGAAAAAAGCCAACTGACTGGATTCCACTCCACAGTGGCTAATGCTTAGGGAGAGTAAGCCATAGGTGTGATTGGAGCAAAACCAGTAACATCGCGCCAAGCTGGCCGAGTGCACAGACACCTGCAGCTCATCTTTGAGCCTTTTGACTGTTGTTGTTGCCCTTCATACGGGAGTCGAGCTGTGTTTGGTTTGATGCCACTTATGTTCTCCTAGAGCTGCTGTCGTTTTAAAACAGTCTCCGCTCCCTTGCTACGGGTTGCAACAAGATTTGTCATGATGAATGCCTGTGGTGTTAATATCAGAGCCATTAGTGCTTCTGTGCCATGCTGTTCTTTTATAAACGTGGCCTTCACACATCCCCCTGTATAAGTGAAAGGTCCTAGGCGGGTCTACATTGCTCCAAGGTAAGTGAGTTTGTTAGTTGGACTAAAATTTCCATTTGATAAAAATAAGTCTGAAATTAACTGTGAAGAAGGAAAAGCACTGAGACTGCAGTTCGGAAAAGCACTTAAGCATGTGCTGCAGTATTACCTGGTATTGTAGCATGTGTTGAGTCATGGTAAATCACAGTGTGTATTCTGATGCCAGCTTAGAGAGAAACCAAAAGGCAAGACACACAGAAGGAGTTCAAAAGACTCCTCGGGCCAGCCTTTACTTCAGGGACTTGCAATTTTGGGGTATCCAACTTGACATCCCTTGAAGGAGCCTGCTTTTCAGAAGGTGCTGAGAACCTGTTCTCTGATAGTCACAGTTCTTTAAGGTGTCTCAAGCTGAGGCCTCAAAAACCGATGTACCCAAAATCCCTAGTCACTGATGAAAATGCTGAAAACGACTTCTTATCAGAGATGGTCCAAACCAAAACTCCAGATCGCCCCTCCTATCCCTGAGCTTTGGGGTGTTTGACATCTGGATCCAGAGTTTTCAGGCTGAGCCCATTCCTAATGATCCCTTTTTGCATACCCTGAACTCCAACATTGTTGCATGAAAGTGGAAACTGGGCCCTGCTTTGATCAATTGTGGAATTTGGGCCTTCCATTAAGATAATGCCAGCTGTCCCCACTTCAGTGCTCGGCTGTCCAAGTGCCTGTTTTAAAATCACCTCTTTGATTTCCCTCTGAGAAGGATATAAATCTGATTGGCAAAATAGGAAGACCAAAGGACATTGGTGCCAGTTGTGTTCCTTATTGTGCCTGCTAGAGTTTTAAATTCACTGACTTTGCTTTGATTCTATGGGAGAATGATGGGAAACAGTTAGAGGGCATTTTATATGTGTGTGTGTGTGTGTGTGTGTGTGTATATATATGTGTGTGTATATATATATATATATATAATAGTGTGTGTGTGTGTGTGTATTTTACATTTATTTCAGATGATTGAAACTAACGATATTTCAGAAGAGAAGATCAAGATGAAGCAGGCGATGGAAGGTAATGAATTTCACTGTCCGAGTGATTGACACGCTGCGTCTTTCACTCTTCTGCTCTAGCTAGGAAGAGCTAGCTGAAGTGGGCTGGGGAAGTTCACGTCATCTCTGTGCTTTTGTGTAGGTTGCACTGGTTGTCTGGCTTTTTCACCTGTGTGGCTGGCATGCCTGCCTGAGCAAATACAGTGGAGGACTCGTATTCCAAAATCTTCCCCCCACACCTACAATATGGGCCCGAACCTCGGCTGGTGAAAATGGGCATTGATCCATTGACTTCAGTAGAGTTGCACTGATTTTACAGCAGCTGAATCTGGTCCATTGAGTAAAAATCACTCCCATCAGAGCGTGGCTAACAGGAATGACGAGGTGCATGTTGCAACTGGCTAGAAGAATTTGGAGTTGCTATAAATCAGATACGAGCCTGAAATGAAACCCCAGATCTAGACACACTTAAACTTTGGATAAGGTTTGATTCAGAGCTGAGTTTCACAGCGGTTTCCATCTCTGTAATGGACCAAACATAGCTCTGGATCTGAACAACTCCAGAGTCTGGAAAAATTTTGTCCTGGATCCATGCTTTGTGGCTCTGGCCCATCTCTGCTGTGTGGATGTCATCCCTGTTTGAACTTGCATGGGTTTGAATTTCACCCCGTATAAATGCCAATTAGTTCATGGAGCGTCTTTCGTGCACCTTTGGATTCAGGCTAAAATACTTTCATGCCCTGTTCCCTCCTGCCCACACACACAAGCTATCATTCTGCCCTCTCTCTCTTTCCTCCCTCCCCACACCCTTTCTTTTCTGTGCCCTGCAAATGCCGTGTGGGTGTGTATTTTATACCAGATCAGATACTTGACTGATAGTTAAATCACTAGGATAGGACTCAAGCACTAGGTTTGGTCCCTTTACTGTGTCCAACAGCAAACTGATCTTAAGATGGTCACTGAGTCCATGTATATTTGGCTTCTCTGAGTCTAAGCACTGGACAAAACATGGATAAGGTGGATTAAAAAGCTGTCTCAGACTCAGGATGTTGCAGCACTTCAAATCTAAGGCTTTGATCTGATTGTGTAAATGTGCTGACTCTACGCAACTTCTGTCTTTGCTTTTTCCATCACCCCTGCCTTCCAGGGTAGTGGGTAACAAACGGAATTGCGAGGAGGGCTCCTTTCTGTTTGCTTTTTCATAATATTTCGTTCTTTCTTTCTTCACTTGTTTAAGCCCATCCTCTGATACTGCTTCCTAGCTGCGTGTCTCCACTCCACTTAAGGTCAAATGGGGATGAGATGCTGTGAGACACAAACCAGCTGGTGCCTCCCATCTCTGCCTCTCTCGAGACGGTGGACACTTGTATGTGCACCTAGTCGTCTGTCTCTAGTCTGGGCCATGGAATCCTAAATCACTCCATACCACCGTTGGCCTTTACTGCGTGATCAGGCAAAGCAGTTGCCAAGGATGTAACCTCTCTCTCTCTCTCTCTCTCTCCTTCTCCATTCACCTAAAGAACTGCAAGATAAGCTGAGTAAAAGAGATAAAGAGGTGTCATCCCTCGCCTCCCAGACTGAAACTCTAAGGGCCCAAGTAAGTGGTAAGTTTCCCTAATCCAGTGCTGGTGGGAACTAGATAGTTTCATTGTGGTGTTTTTGTACCTCCTCCATTATAAGAAGAACTTAGGGTTTATACATTAAAGCAACCTAGTAACATGTGTGCATAAAACATGCAGTTGTCCGTGTATAAGAGGATTGTGCTTAGCAAATGTTTGTTCTTGATGCAGCGGGCCCAATTCTACCCCAGAAAGATGCAAATACATCCCATTGAAGTTATTTGTAATCTGTAAGGAGAGAATCTGGCCCAATAATCTTAACAAATTGTGAAGCCAAAAGGGATGTAGAAATAAATGCAGCTGGGTTTATAATTTCTGGAATCTCTGCTTATACAGGGCTGCATCCTGAGTGCTGCCGAGCATTTGCAACTCTCATGGACTCCGGTGGCAGCTGCAGATAACTAACTAGGCATAACTAACTAGGGGAAGCCACATGTTGCGAGGAATGGAAATGAAATTGAGAAATGAAGTCATCCAAAAAAGGAACGTAGGTAGGGACTGGTAGACTTTTTTCCTCCCCTTTTATTCTTCCCTTAGCATTGGAAAATAAATGCAAAGCTGGAGAGAAGAAGGGAGATTCTCTGTTGAAGGAAAAGAAGCGGTTGGAAGCTGAACTGGAGACCGTGTCCAGGAAAACACATGATGCTTCAGGCCAGCTGGTCCTGATTAGCCAGGAGCTACTCAAAAAGGAAAGGTTGGTCTTTGAGAAACAAATTTAAGAAGGACCCAGGCATTTGTAAGACATGCTCTGAATTTGGCCCTATTCAGAGCATCGCTATTTAACGTACAAAAAAAATATGAGTTGAATGATTGAAACCCAGATTTCAGCTTTCCCATCATTAGGGTGTTGGGTGCTGGATTAGTGCAGCAATGGCTGAATTATCCAGAGCACTCAGCTCCTACCACTATCCCAGGTTTTCAAGACACAGCTCAGTTCCCAATGAGGCACGGAAATTAGTGGCCAAATTAAAAAAAAAAAATCAACATATTGGATGTTGAGCTCTTTTGAAATTCTGTCCTAGTGGTGGAATCCAGCTGCAAAGGTGAGCTGAGTCCTGAGATGAATTTTACCAACGTTTGAGGGGGGTTTGGACGCAAGTTTTGCGGTTTGGCCCCTTTTCTCAGACCACACCCCTGTTAGATGTCCTCTTTCAAAGCTGAGAGAAGTTGCAACATCGGACACACGCGCGCGCACACACGCACACACACACGTGCTGGGCTGTACCCAAAAGACAACCGAATAAACGTTCCCCTTTGTGAGGTTCTCCCCATCCCTCCCTCAGGAGCCTGAATGAGCTGCGAGCTTTGCTGCTGGAAGCAAACCGTCACTCGCCCGGGCCAGAGCGGGACCTGAGCCGAGAGGTGCACAAAGCAGAGTGGAGGCTGAAAGAGCAGAAACTCAAAGATGACATCAAAGGCCTGAGAGAAAAGCTGATAGTGCTGGTGAGAGCAAGGCGCACCCATCCTTGCTGGTTGGCACAGGTGTCTGGGAGGGCTTCACCTAGCTCCTGGTCTTCGGGGGGTGAATGTTTGTGGTGGAACAGACAAAGGTGGGAAGGACTTTTCGCAGCCTGGGGATTCTTTTGGTATCATTGAATTTGCCATAATTTTGTGAATTTTGCTGTCATTCAGCAAATGACACTGCGGCTTCCTTTGGTGTCTTGTGTATGTGAACCCAGTCAAAGAAGTGCTGGTTGTCCACAACACCCTGTGGGTGTGATTCTGGGAGCTGCGGTACGCCCTCATCTCCAAGGGCAGGGCATGCAGAAAACCATTAGAACCTCAACGTTCCAAACTGCCTGGTGGTTTTTCAAGTGCATTCATTTTTGCGTGCCCCGTTTAAGACACCCCAAATAGGTCTAAACTTCAGGGGCCGAGCATTTGGAATTCCCTGAAAATCAGGCCCCTGTGAGGTGTCTCAGATTGGGCACCCAACAATGGAGACATTGGAAATGATTAATCACTTTTGAACTTTTATCCAGATCGAGGCTGGTTGCTAATGGAAAGTGCTGTCTGCTGATAGCAAATCCTTGCAAAATTTCCGTCATTTTATTGTGAAACATCAAAATACACATTATGACAATACGGAGCCTATGACCTTCCTTCCTAGCCACATTGCTTTGTTCATAGTACGTTGTGTCTTTGACAGAGGAACTGTCTCACAGTGTGTGTGTCAGCTGGGGCATAGTTTAGCATGCACCTAGTTAGAGTAATCCTAAATGATCTCAGTCCTTCATCAACATTTGCATTCCCCTTTGTTTTAGAGATGTGCCGTACAGCTGTACTTACAGAGAGCTATACATTTATATTCAAGGCAGGAGCCTCATTTTATCTGGATTGCCAACCCCAGATGTAAAAATAAAAAAATTGTGAATCAAGCCCTGGAAAGTCATGATTTTATTAAAAAATATATTTTTTTAATTTGCCTTTTTTTCTGAGCCTTTAGGATGCACCTGGGTCTTCTTTTTTCCCCATCTTTTCTCTGCAACTGTGATGGCTAGAAACTGACTTTTTTTTTTAATTAAAGTTAAGATTCTTGTGTAATCACATGCCTCCAGAAGCGGGGGCTTTAAGAAAAACGCCAAATACCATGAGACTCATAATAAAATTGTGAGAATTCTCTTATTTGAATGGTGCAAAATGGCATGCACACTTATAAATAATATAAATCTGCATAAGTGAGGCCTCACATACCTACACTTATTTTCAAGGGATTGTTTAAAAAAAATCTTGGCAATACTTCTTTCCCATCTCAACCAATAGCTGGAGTCATTTTGTTTTCTATATTCATTGTGAGGCGTCAGATTTCCTAAAATAAAATAGTAAGAGAAGACTAGGAAGAAAATACAAAGTTGCTCGTTTCCCCCTGTTGTTTATTCCTTGATAAGGGGATAGAGGAAGATCCCAGTGGACAAGAAGAGCTAATGTGACTTAATGATTTTTTTCAGATCTAGATTTGCCTCTGTGTGATTCCTATAGACTGCAGCAACCTCTAGAGGTGGAGACTTAAGTAATTGACTGATCTGAGCTGGCAACAAATCTGAGTAGCTCATCGTTGCATTTAATACTTGGTTCTCTCCAAACTTGCAGTCTCCTCTGATCTGTTATTGAAATCAGAGTTTGGCACTAGTCACCCTCAAATGTAGTCTGCCCCTAGTTTCTATGTTTTTACCAGAGTCTAACCTGCTCCCCTGCTTTTTTTTTTAAACCTTTAAATGTCAAGGATAAAGAGAAATCGGTAACAGATCAAAGGCGATACTCCCTGATTGACCCTTCGTCAGAGTCTGAGGTTCTCCGGCTGCAGCACCGACTGGTCAGCACGGAGGACGTCCTGCGGAATGCACTGGAGCAGGGTCAGCAAATGGAGAAACTCATGGAGGCCATGAGAAGTTCTTCGGAGAAAACACAGGTAGTGCACTCCCCCCACCGGAGCAGCGAGTTACCCGATCGCTCGCGCCACGGCAGCGACGTGCCCAGAGCAACGCTCTGATGGGGCCCCACACCACCAAGGAAAACAAACTGGTGGTGTAGGTCGTGATAGCCCTCTTCCCTCTGATGGAACAAAGCATCACGGGTGCAGTGTTTGCTACAGATTCTGTCTTTCAGATGAGATCTAAAACCAACTGTATGACTGTGTGTGGATCATTATAGATCCTCCGACACTCTTCACAAGAACCGGGTATTAGTCCCAATATCCTGCACCAAATTCCAGTGTGGGTAATTACAGTCGACCTATTTAAATGGTAACGTCACGTGTATCTCTTCATTTCATATGTGTATAGCATTGATTTCCTTTCTTACCCTGTAAATACGGTGCTGCTGGATGGTTTTTAGACATCTACTCGGCTTCACACCAGAGTTGGCTGCATTCATGCGCATAGAAAGGGAATGTGGGTGGGTACCTCTACACTTCAGGCTGGAAGGGGTAATTTCCAGCTTGCGTAGACATATCCGTGCTAGCTCCAATTGAGCTAGCGCACTAAAAATAGCAGCGTAGCCATGGCAACATAAGCAGCAGAAGGGGCTAGTGGCCTGAGTGTGTACCTATGGTCTCAGATGGCTGGACCCTCCTGCTGCATGCGCTGATGTGGCTACGCTTATATTGTTAGCACTCTAGGTCAGGGGTTCTGAAACTTTTGTACTGGTGACCCCTTGCACAGACCAAGTCTCTGAGTGTGACCCCCATTATAAATGAAAAACACGTTTAAATATATTTAACACCATTATAAATGCTGGAGGCAAAGCAGGGTTTGGGGTGGAGGCTGACAGCTCGCGACCCCCCCATGTAATAACCTCACGACCCCCTGTGGGGTCCCGACCCCCCAGTTTGAGAACCCCTGCTCTAGGTCAATCAGAGCAAGCGTAGGTATGTCTCCTCAAGGTGGGGATTACACCTCCAAAGTGGAGCCAGGCCCTGTGTATCTGTATCTAGATGGGAATTACCACTGGGAACAGCCTAATAAATGTTTTCTTTCTAGCAGTGACCCTGGCTGGGTTTTCACTTGGCCTAACGGAGAGAGAGAGAGAGAGAGAGAGAGACTTTTTCTCTTGGTTTATATTAATGCACTGTTCCTGGCTTATAGGCTAAGATTATTTTTCATTGTTTATCTCCTTTAAAATGATACATAAAAAGTGAAAAATACATTTTATGTCATCCCTCTTCTTTGTTCTTGTCAGAATTCACTTTCCCTGCCGCCCACCAACACATACTTCTTCAGTTTCCAAGTGCTTCAATAGAGATCCATCTGGGAAAGGTTTTTCCATCTCTCTTGCCAGTTCCCTCAGAACTCTTGGACTGTACCTGACTCGGGGGGTTGGTCAGATGCCAAACGGGTCCGTCTCTCAAACACGTGCTACAGAATCCTTCTGATTTCCTCCAGTATTTCCTTTGCCTCCCCTGGGCAATTTCGAACTGCTTCCAGCATCTCTCCTGCATCCTCTGCTGTGAAAGTGGAGGTTGAGAGTCGATGTAATTTATCTTGGCATGCTCAACCTTTTCTGTCATTTACCCTTAGTGTATCTGAGATTGTTCCTGGGAGCTGCTTCTGTGGAAAGGCCCTGTTATTTACATTAAGCGCTTTCATTCTCTATCTTTTGCTTTTCGGACAACATTTTCTCTGAACTCGAGTCTACAATCAGTTTACATCTCTTAGAGACCTGGTGTTTTTACACCTTACACGTGATTGAATGTTTCCTCATCTACCTTGTCCTAAAAATGTTCATCTCTTACAGCAAGTGCATGCTGCTAATAATGCACATTCAGAAGGATATTAATACTGCATGATATGACCAAACCATTACGCACAGAGGCTAGGGCTGTGGTTATTTTTTCCTCTGCCATGCTGTGCTGTTACAGGTCCAGGTACTTTATGGCAGGCAATCTGGACCAATGGATATCCTGCTTCTCTCCCCAAGTGCAGAACGCCACAAAGTCTGCTGCAGGGCAGGGGAGGGATAGTTCATTTATTATCTGTATTGCAGTAACACTTAGTGATCCAATCAGAGACCCGGGCTCCATTGTGCTCAGTGCTGTACAAACACACAATAAAAGGATGGCGAGAATGCCTGGTTTGGCCTAGATGATTCCTCTGCACACAGAAGAGTGGGGAAAGCAGCCACCTGTCTTGTGTGAGATAGAGCTGTGTATTTTTCATTCCGTACCACACACCACAGCTGCAGCTTTGTTGTAGTCCAAGCCATAATGCAATCCTGCCAGTGTCTCCAGAGTTATTTTAGTTTCTGTTGTAATCACCATGTCTTAAACTAAAATGTGTCATGATGGCTACAATACCCAGTAGTATGGTGGGTATTGTCCCCCTTGGAAGGAATGCTAAACCCCGTCGGTGCTAAGAGATCTTCCCTTTCACTTTTCCTTCTCCACAAATGGTATTTATTTTTATTTTTCCCGAAAGGATGAAATATCTCTGCAATTCCTGCCTGTTGGCACAGGGAAATCTTTCTCTTTCTTTTTCATAGAATATTTTTTTACATGATTTTTTACTTTGCTCCATGTTATTTATTTGTATTACAATAGCACTCGGAGGCCCCCTCAGTGTGCCAGCTACTGTGTACACACACACACACACACACACAGAGTCACAGCCAGTATTGTGTACACACACACACACACACACACACACACACACACACACACACACACG